TTATTGTAAAAATTCGGTCACAGTCCCTATGATCACTGTTACGTTGCAATTATGGCTTTATTTTTTGGTGATTTCGAAAAGTTTTTTGGTTTGGACATGTTTGTTTTGTTGTAGTACGGAGTTAGACTGATGGCCTTAATCTAAGTTTTCTTGTGGTTGTTGTTGTTTGGCTTGCATCCCACTGTGATTTTTTGCACACAACGTTGGTGTACGGTGCTTTTTTCAGGAATATTTTGCTGGTTTTTTTTCATGGATTTTCTGTTTCCACAGTCACATAATCACTTTAAGATGTTTTCTTGTTCGTGTTTTTTGTCTTTTGTTTGTTGTGGTTGCACCTGATTCAAGAGCCGAATGGCTCACAGGGCTATACCAAAATAAATAAACTGAAAAAACTGAAACTTAAATATATTATGTTAATGAACCCGTCCCATACGTGGAGGGATGGGGCGTGGGTACCGAACCCATAGCAATAAACTCGCGACGGCTTTCACGAATATATTATGTTAATGAACCGCCAGTCACTGGGTGTAGCTTTGCCCAAATAAGGATTGTACTTGAACAGATAACGGAAGTGACCCAGACAGACGTGACGTCACACTCAAGGGCACGGGTGAACGGGGTGTGAATACCTTGGTGACATGACGCTAATTCAAAAATACAGATAATACTTGTAGCGTCATCCGGAGCGAAACATTTTATTTTACGCCAATGAATAGCAGTGGCAGCTAGGGGTGTACAACTCCTCTAGAGCAGTTTTGAGAGAAGATCTCATTGGTAGCGATTCAAGTTGCAGTTTATTGGCAATAGCATTCCAGACCCTGGGGGCATCAATAGCAAAGGCCCTTCCTCCAGTTTTTGTACGGCAATAGGGAATGTGAAGCTGGTAAATGAGCAAAGACCTCAGGTCAAATTTGTTCTTTGAAACGGAGAGGAGATCCAGCAGGTAGTCTTCGGATTTTGTTGTAAGTACATCGTGAATAAATAAAATCTGGTGCACAAGCCGTCGAACATTAATTGATGTTAAGTTTGACCCAATGTAGAGATCACAGTGGTGAATCCTATATGGGCAGTTCAATGTAAATCTTAAAGCCGAGTGATAGATGGAATCAAGCTTAATCTTTGTTTTTTTCCGGTAAAGTCAAGTATAAATAAGAAATAATAAAATAACATAATAGCGTACGACGTTTCGGTTGCAACACAAGCAGCCATCATCAGGTACAGAAGAGCTAAATTTACGAGAGAGGGGAAACACATAACCCCAGATGTATACACAGACACCCAAGTAGGGGGAACTAACACCGTCACAATAGGGGACACAGAGAGAGAAGCATACCAAACGGAGTTTAGCAGAATTTGGAAACCATATAAAGCAACACAGACGGTTGGTCAAAACACAATTAACGCATAGCCTGGTTGATTACGTTATTTCAAAGATTGCTAAATTGCAAGTTAAGTATGAAATTTAAGATACAGACGGCACACACACACAGACATTCAAGTAGAGCGGACCAGCACAGGTACAAGCACACAGTGAAGTCGCCTTAAATACGCAGAGAAGGCAAGGCAGAGAGACAATGGGACATTTTAGCATGAGGTATGCATAGAGCAAAGTGGAGCACGGCAGCAAACATTCGGAAGCACAAAGACCTACACACAGGCAGAGACAGCACAGAGAAACAAATCCGAGCACAGACACAAAGGCAGATACACAAGCAGAGACAACACACAGAGAGAGTGGGGGGAGAGAGAGTGGGGGGGAGAGAGAGTGGGGAGAGAGAGAGTGGGGGGGAGAGAGAGTGGGGGGGAGAGAGAGTGGGGGGAGAGAGAGTGTGGGGGGAGAGAGAGTGGGGGGAGAGAGAGTGGGGGGAGGGAGAGAGTGGGGGGAGGGAGAGAGTGGGGGGAGGGAGAGAGTGGGGGGGGAGGGAGAGAGTGGGGGGGGAGGGAGAGAGTGGGGGGGAGGGAGAGAGTGGAGGGGAGGGAGAGAGTGGGGGGGGAGGGAGAGAGTGGGGGGGAGGGAGAGAGTGGGGGGGGAGAGAGAGTGGGGGGGAGGGAGAGAGTGGGGGGGAGGGAGAGAGTGGGGGGGAAGGAGAGAGTGGGGGGGAGGGAGAGAGTGGGGGGGAGGGAGAGAGTGGGGGGGAGGGAGAGAGTGGGCAGGAGGGAGAGAGTGGTGGGGAGGGAGAGAGTGGGGGGGAGGGAGAGAGGTGGGAGGGGAGGGAGAGAGTGGGGGGGGAGGGAGAGAGTGGGGGGGGAGGGAGAGAGTGGGGGGGAGGGAGAGAGTGGGGGGGAGGGAGAGAGTGGGGGGAGGGAGAGAGTGGGGGGGAGGGAGAGAGTGGGGGAGGGAGAGCGTGGGGGGGAGGGAGAGAGTGGGGGGGAGGGAGAGAGTGGGGGGGAGGGAGAGCGTGGGGGGAGGGAGAGAGTGGGGGGAGGGAGAGAGTGGGGGGAGGGAGAGAGTGGGGGGGAGGGAGAGAGTGGGGGGGGAGGGAGAGAGTGGGGGGGGGAGGGAGAGAGAGTGGGGGGAGAGATGGGACGAGAGAGTGGGGGGGGGGAGAGAGTGTGGG